ATGTCTCTTAGAAAGGATTACGATTACTAGAAGCAAGGGTTACACTTACAGTTCCTGAGAGAAATGAATATGCATAGCAAATAAGAGAAAAGCATTGTGCTCCATTAGTGACTATTGAGAAAGGATCAAGAGGACACAGGAATTTGGGTGAACAGAACAGTTTTGGGGAAAACTGAGGGAAAAGCACAATTAAAGATAAGGAGTAGAGCCCTATCTATACCCTTCCACAAAATTACCAATGCAAGGCTTAAAGGATAACTAAAAGATGCTTAATTCATTGCCTAGTTAATTGAATTAAAAGGTAAGCAATATTTTGTGTTGGTTACATGTTCACCTTGGAAAAGAAATGAGCCTTTCACAGAGTCAGAAGAGAATGCTAAAGCCAAGAGCATCTTTAGACTTGTACTTGTATACTAGGGGAAAAAAGACCACCTTTTTTGGAATACCAAGAAGGGGCCACAGTTTTTGACTAATGGTCAGTCAAAATTAAATAATGGAGGTTTAAAAATATATTTTAGCTTTGTTTCAACAAAATATGACTTCAATCTGAAAATGGATTATTTTTCTTTAATTTACACACCCAAAACTGATTATTTAACAGTTTTACTGAGAATTCTACATTTCCTTTTTTAATTTATTGTTGTTTAGTTACAGTTGTCCCTTTTAAAGCAGTTTTATTGTCAAACATCCATCAAAATTTTGCTATCAAAGGTATATTTGTACTTCATATTTTGTTTCCCATTGGAATTAAGAAGTAAGCTACTGCTTGTTCTAACTTTTGAAATCTCATAAGAACTAGGGTAATATATGGCTTTAAAAAAAGAGTCTGCAAATCTTATGTTATAGGAAGTATTTTGAATTACTTTTGTCAACTTGCAGTAATTTAAGGTAAGTCACTTACATCTGCCGACTCAAATTTCTGTAAGTGTAAGATAGTGCCTTGGCCTAAAATTTAGATCCATATGAGGTCTTTTCCAAGTTGAATCTTCTTAACTGATTGAAGCTAATAATTCTACTTACATTCAGAATCAGAATACCATCTCTCCTGTTGGTTTAAAAATAATTGTTCCAAAGGAGAATCATATTAAGGTGAATCATATTAAGGTGAAATGGTATGATTATTGTTTGGCCTAGTATTTTCCAGAGTCCCTCATGAGTATGCTGTTCATATAATTTATCTTGTTCCTCTTAACTTTTCCTGAACTTTTATCGGTGGATATGTAATTTGATCTCATCAATGGAAGACAAGTAAATTTATAAACTTAAATGTTATAGAATGAAAATGTTGTGGAAAATACTGGCTTAGGATATAACTTAGCAAAAGGGTATTAATGGTTATTTTTTATGTGTTTTCCAGTAAATGTATTTTTGCCATAGGAAAGAAAGTTAATTCTTTACAAGTTTATAGGCCAGAGGAAACCAATTTTGTTGTGTTCTTATCTGGCCTATGTCCTTTGTCTTCTGTGTATAAGGTCATATGCTAGTTTTCATGAATAATTTTAAAGATTTTTAAGTTAATATTCAATTTGATTACCAAAATTTTAAGAGATGAATTCCAAATTGCATTTGGGATTGTTGGTGGAATTAGCCTTAGAGGAGTTATAATTTACAATGCCTTGATGAGGAGTTGACTGCTATTGTGAAACTTAAATGCCAATGAATTCACAATGACCAATAGAGGGGTATGGAGTATCACATCAAAGTGTTTAAAATATTAAAAGTTTAATCAATTATATTGGTATGTGCAAATTTTAAATCATCTGCTTGTCATGCACTCTTGTTTAGTGGGATGAAGGATAAAGTGTGAGGACTTTTTTCTTGTTCTGTGTAAATTTGGAGAGACATTGTAATATAGCAGAATGGACTGAACTGGTCAAAGTCCTGGATTCCAGTCCCACTTCTTTCATTTACTAGTCCTGTATTTTTTAATTTGTAAGATAGGGGCAATAATATCTGACCTTCAAGTTGTATAACTGAGTAAAGCACTTTGAAAGTACAAAATATGACTATAAAATTGTAAGGTATTATAATTGTGGGCAATGAAAATTTAGATTATAACACTGAAAAAATATGCTGTTCTATTTTTTCCTTTTTGGTGCACTTTTCTAGGTGAATGTGCCTCTTAGGAGCAATTGTCTGGGAGTGTCTGGGATAAGCTTGGGCTGCATAGGCAGATTGTGTTCCCTGAAGGTCATGCTCCCTGAAAGACTCAGAGCAGCTCAGCCAGCACGTCCAGAGTATGAAGCATGAAGTACATTTATTCTGCAAAAATGACAAGTAAACATAACAAAAAAATGTCAAGGATTCCATTTTTTTTAAATAAGTACAACAAAATCAATGAAAATTGAAGTCATATTCAGAGTAACACATGCCACCGTTTTTCATAGATCTCACAGCACTTTGAAAAAGATATTTAAATGTTGATTTGAATTGTTCAGACATGTACACTATATCAGAACACTTATTAAAAGTGATGATGCCACAGAATAAAAAAATTAAATCAATGACAGAAATTGGTACAAAATATACTGTACAAAAAGATATCTGAATCTTTGAATTGAAAATGAGAATATGGAAAGGTGCCAAGTTATTCCACAGTATTAATTGAGCCCCCTGAAAAATATAGGAATTTCTGATAGCCTTTGAGTTGCCAGCAGTTACATTCTGAGAGTCCTGTAAACGAGGATAGTGGGATTTATTAAAATTTCAGTTATGATAATCATACAAAAATTACTAGAATTATGCTGTCTTTGTACAAAAATGCATCAAGTGTTCCGGTTGTATAATGACTAGATTTTTAATAGAAGGTAGCTAGGATTTTTAAGATTTACTTTTTTTTTTCTGCATACAGAAAGAATGTCAAACAATACCCGTCATCTTGCCTCAACTTAATGCTATATAAGCTCACAAAGGCAAGAAATTTACTTAGAAAAGGAAAAAAATTCTGCTGTGAATTTGTTTTAAAGAATAAAGGAGTTTTTTTTTTCCTAAGTGATAATTTTCTCCTTCTTCAATTATTGTTGGCATACAATGCTACATTAGTTTCAGGTGTACAAAATAGTGATTAATCATACATATACCTTGTGAAGTACTCATCCCAATAAGTGATAGCTTTTAAAAATATCAATACATTTTGGGAAGAAAAACACTATGGCACTGAATCATAGATAGGTTACATACAACAGAAGGGCATATTTTAAAGATAAGGTTTGGAATTCTTTCCTTCACTTCCATTCCTTTCTTTCTTCCCTTCATTGTTATTTTTATTTGGAGTTATATTTGCTGCCCTATGCCAGGTATAGCGAGGGACTGTCTCATGGGTACTTCAGTTAATTCTTTGAACTCTTTTGAGGGGTAAAGTAAGGACAAAAATGTAATTCATATTTGGCTGTAGTTACCAGTGCAACATGGCAGCAATACCCCATAGGACCAGAAGATGGTGGTGTTGTCCATAAAAGCAGACCAATGTGTTTCTGCATTGTTGAAACTATTTTAAATCCCTTTCTATTTTTCAAAGTTCACACAGGATCTAAAATTTTAAAATAGCAATTTGGGAAAATGTTTTTCCATGCTTTTAATCAAAAGGTTTTATAGATCTATCCTAGATCTATCCTTGCTATCTACATCATATAAGGAATTAGACCTTTTCTTCCCTGGGTTTTGGCACTATGAATGCCAAAAGATAGTGCATTTTTTATAAATGGGATTATGAATCCATAACTAAGTTATGTTACTTTAGGGGTTGTTTTGTATCTCTTGCAGTGAAATCAAAGGTGCCTAGGGAGAAGCCTTTTTCTCCCTCTTTCAATTTATTACCCTTTTTTATCTTTTTGCTTTTTTTTCTCTTCACTCCTGCTGCACATATTGTGGTATCTTAAGCATGAATAATAGACTATTGTAATTTCTATTGCAAGATGCAATTGTTGAGTGTGCGATATCTAGTATTGCACATAAAACTGTCTTTAAAAGACTTATTAGTACTCAGCTATGAATAAATTACTTGATGTTTTCAACTCTGTAAGGTTATCACACAGGACTAACCTCAGAGTGGACTGTTGCCAATTAAACCCATTTGTCAGCAAATGATCATTTTACCTAAGAAGTATGTTTTATTGCATTCTTAAGTTCAGCAAGGCCGGGGAGTATTGTACTCTGTGGCTAATTGCCCTCAGTTCAACTTTGCCACTGTGATAGCACTTCCACATCATATGAACAGATTGGGTTAACTGACCTATGATGACTATAATCATTGCAGACGTTATTATGTTAGTGAGGAGTTGTAGAAACATTACATAATGAATCTGGAAGGAGGCTGATACTGACGTTTGCAAATTATTTACAACGTAACCCATAAATATCCCTGTCCTCACGGAGCTTAATTGAAGTTGGGAATGGAGAAGGAGGTATTCGATAAACAAGACATCGAAGTCACTTATATGGTTTGCTGGTGGTGATAGCCACCCCCAAAAAGAGTAGGGTACAGGGATGAGAACGCGGCGAGGCCCAGGCAGTACTCAATTGCCTAATCAGAACTCTCCTCCAGGATTGAGGGAGGTGCTCAGGGTGGGGACCCAGCGGGACGCCCTGGTTAGCCACAGGCCGGGGCCGTTTCGCAGACCTTCACTTTCTTAGGAATTCACTCCAGACTGGGTTAGAGTCCCTAATTACACTTTCAGCACGCCAGCTCAAAGAGGACTCAGTGCCTTTGATCTCCCCGCTTTGCTAAGGCGTTGACTTGGGTGCATTCAGTAGGCCAGAGCCCATGACCGTTCGCACCACAGGAGGAGAGGATCTGCGCCCCTACCAGAGTGCGCGGCGGGCGTGGGGCGGGGCCTGCGGACGACAACAACGCAGCCGCAAGGACTGGCAGCAGCGGCCTGGTCCCAACAGCCCCCTCGCCCTCGCCTTAATTCTGCTCGCGCACTGTCGCTTAAGCCGTCACGCTGTTCTCCTCCGGTCCCCCGCGGCTGCGCGCTCGGAGGATTGGGCGGGGCCATTCTGGGGATGAGGAGGTGGTGGCGGCGGCGCGCCAAGACGATGCACTGGAGCTGAAAAGACGCCGGCACACGGCACCGCGGCCGAGCGCAGTCCCGACCCGCGGGATGGCTCAGCCAGCCGGCCCGGCGGGCGGCGGGGAGCCGAGGGCGGCGGCGGGCGGCGAGGGGCCGCCAGTGCCCGGGGAGGCCGCAGGTGCGTCTGGGGGCTCGCAGGACGAGCTGAGCCTGGAGGAGATCCTGCTGCTTTACAACCAGCCCATCAACGAGGAGCAGGCATGGGCCGTTTGCTACCAGTGCTGCGGTTCCCTGCGCGCCGCTGTCTCCGGCAGCTGCCAGCCCCGCCGCCGTGTACGCTCGGCCGCTCAGATCCGCGTCTGGAGGGATGGCGCCGTCACCCTGGCGCCCGCCGCCGGCGACGCTGAGGAGCCGACACTCGCTGCGGGTGAGGGTGCTGTCCCGCGTCCTCCGGTGGACCCCTGTCGCTGTCTCCTTTTCTTCTCGCAGTCCCGGGACCCAGCCCTTCCGCCCCAGGACCCCCCATCTCCTACGGGAAGACCACTGCCTCAGTTTCATATTCCCTCGGGGTTCCAGAGTCCTGCCCTTCTGCCCCCCAACCCTCCAATCTCCCGCGGGAGGACCCCCGCCGCTGCCCATTTCCCCTCCCCGCCCCCGACTTGATCCAGGCCCTTCCGCCCAGATTCCCTTCCACCTTCAGCGGGAGACTTAAGTCTGGGGCCCACGGTGGAGGCCAGTGCTTGCGCTGTGGCCGAGCTGGGACCCACGTAGGTCAGAGAATGGGGTGGGGGCGGGCAGCTGCACAAAGGGGCAGTGAGAAGGACGACCGAGTGGGTCTAGGCGTGCTTGGGCCTGCGCCCCCCTGCAAGGCCGCGGACCTGCGGAGGGTGCTGGTGATTATACATTCAGACTAAAAGGACAGCTGCTTACGCCTCGTTTGGGAAACGGTGTGGGTTGGGTCCCTTTGATAAGCTGTGAATGCCTTAGTTATTTGCTTGCGGTTGTATTTGTGATGTCGTAGGTGCTATAAAAGGCTCACGTGAGAATTTGTCAAGGATAGTTAATTCTGGTGTCAGAAAAATTAAACCTTTTGCAATGACATTCAACTAATAGTATTTTTGAAAAATTGGCAACAATCTTTCGGTTTGGAAATATAAAGAAATCTCAGCCCTAAGAATTATGCTCTTTTGGGGGACACTGGTTTTTATAGCATCTGAAAGTTATAAATTGAATACTATACCTGTATTTCGAAATTTGTTGTGATGAAAAAACAGTTTTGTAAAGTGAAAAGTTGTCAGGATATCAGATAAATAGTTAAAATGGATGTTAGGTCATTGTCTAATGTAAATTCTTCCCGATTATCACCTACACATCAACAAATAGCTGGGGCTTACATATTTATTGATGATGAAGAGGGGGTAGATAAGAGGCTTCTATTAGTATATATCTAATTCAGTCTTTTGAGAGACAACTCTTAAGAACAAAAATAATCCATCCTCACTTCTAGGAAGTTGATGGGAAGTGTCAAAATGCTTAAGGTGAAAGAAGTAATTAAAAACTAATCGGTAAAATGACATTTAATAAGGAAGGCTAAGGGGGGGATTAGGACAACTGTAAAAGAATAAACAAGAATAAAAATAAATGTAAAAAATTTAAAAAAAGAAAATCCTCATCTAAGTTGATTAAATAAGGAAGATTGAAGATTATGTTGTCAATTTTTTTAATTCCATCAGAACACTTACTATTTTTAATGTTAGGTAAACAAATTTTATAATTTTTATTTAAAGCCAGCCTATAATTCTTTCAAAATTATTTTAAACATCTTTTAGTTTATTGATGTGTTTATTACATTGAGATTTGGACTTTATGTTAGTGGGGAACACTTGCAATTATAATTTATTTACAATGTATTGATAAGATACGGAAAAATACATTTATAAAATAGAGCAAAGCCATCCCCTGAGATCTAGTATTTCAAGGGGAAAGTGATTGTGTGCATCTTGCTCTTAGATGCAGCATTGGTAGTGGTGATTTTAAGAACAAACCCAGTTTACATTGTCTCTTGAACTTAATCCCTGAAAGGAGTAGTTTAAATTATGTTTGTGGACTTACTAGTAGTTTAATTATCAAAGACTGTTGGTTTCTGGTGGTAGGGTTTTTCTTATTAGTATCATAACCTTATGTTTAAAATTCTTTTTTGCATCATTAATATGATTGATAACAGGTTGACTTCAACGTAATATACTGTCTTTATGGAGAGAATAGTAAAAGTTGTTTCTTACCCCAGCAATAATAGACCTGTAATCCATCCTCTTCCTCCTTACTTCACCTCATGGCCTCTGCTATCAATTGTGGAAAGAACCCAACCAAAGTTGTTACAGTCTTCAGCATTTTAGGGTCAACTGACTTAAAATTTTAGAGAAGTTCATACAAAAATATTGTTTGTATTAGTTTATTTCCTCCTAGGATTTAAGAGTAGTTGCATGGCTATTAAAGGCACAGTATCTTCTTAACATTTGATCCTCATTCTTAAAGATACTGTTTAATTTGGTCTGCGCACATTCTGTTTATAAGGAAAAATGGTAATTGTGATACCTCCATTCTTTTCTTTTTCATTGTAAGGTGTTTAATACAATTATATGTTGTTGGCAATCAAACACATTTATATTTTCACATACTAATCTGAGTTATTTTCTAAATGGAGGTTTAAGGAAATTGGATAACTTACTCAAATTCATCCTGTTACCTCTTTGAATCACATTCAAGTCTTTTAATCTCTATACTTTGTAATATTGGGAAATTAAACAGGTTTAGTTTGAATTGGGATCATGATTCCTCACCTTCCTAGCTGAATGACCTTGAATTCAGCCTTATCTGTGAAGTGAAATCACTTTCTTTTTGGGATAGAGGTTTCCGTGAGGTGATGTATGTAAAGTGATGAACACATGGCTTGGTGTGTAGCAGGTACTTAGTAGGTTTTAGTTCCTGTCCTTCCTTAATTTTGTGTTCCTTTCATACCATCATTGTGCCTCTTGTCCAGCTGTTTTGGACAAATAACTAGGACAAGATTTGTCAGCCTTAGCAGTATTGACATTTTTGTCTGAATAATTCTGTGTTGTGGAGGCTGTCCTGTGCCTGCATAGGATGTTTAGAAGAATTGCTAGTCTCTACCTAGTAGATGCCAGTAACTATCCACCCTTGCTATGATTCTAATCATAGCAATAAAAAGTAGTCTCCAGACGTGGCCAAATGTCCCTGGGGGCAAAACAATCCCCTGTTGTAAGCCACTGGTCTAGCAAATGTGATGGGTGGTGCTCAGGATTGTTTTCAGTATGGAGAAATGGATCCTCTCTGTAATCCTCAAGCCAGTGAATGTTTCAGCTGGCTGCCACAGCTTTTTCTGCTGTTGAGTTAAATGAATAAGTAGTATTGATTCTTGCCCGTAACGGCAGCATAACTCCATTTAGTCCCACAGAAAGAAATAGTACCTCAAATAGTTTCTGGGCTTGTTTTGGGACTTAATGTAGTAGTAATTGATTTTAGTTACTGTTTACTTTTTTAAAAAGATTTTTAAAATTTATTTTTATAGAGAGGGGAAGGGAAGGAGAGGGAGAGAAAACATCAGTGTGTGGTTGCCTCTTGTGCGCCCCCTACTGGGCACCTGGTCTACAACCCAGACATGTTTCCTTACTGGGAATTGAACCAGCGATCCTTTGCTTCGCAGTCTGGCCCTCAGTCCACTGAGCCACACCAGCCAGGACAAGTTCTTGTTTACTTTTAACATTATTGATATATCCAGAATATCTGTATTCAATTTGAATTTAAGAAATTAGAAATACATTGTAAGAAAAAATAGAAAAATGATGAAAGGTGTGGGAGGCATGGAAATGAGACCAATATTGGAAGTGAACAATGAAGAATGAGTAATTTACTTAGCTTTCAGATTCGACTTAGAGCCCTATACTAAATGGCCATGAAAGCACTGTGATATAGGTCTGAAGGAGATAAAGAAGAAGAAAAAACTAGTTCTTCAGGGATATCTTAAGAGTAAAAATTATTAAATTATGCATTAGGATTTTACAATGGGCAATATGTTTTATGAAGTATTTCTGTGATGACCAGAGGATATGTTGCTTAGAATCAAGAGGGCTTATGATTTCTCTTAGGTGGCTTTGCTTAAAATTTGTATTTCCCTGTTGTTTATGTACTCATAGTGATACAGCCTTATTGTTTGGTAAAGGTTTATTATATACAGGTTTTCACAAAAGTGAACTTTACCTTTTACATCATTAGTAATGAGTTAAAGACATTCATACCCTTGAAATACAACCTGCTTATTTATCACCAGTGTATTGACATTTAGAACACATTTTGGTATACACATTCTTTAGAAAGTAGTCATTAATGGAATTTAAGTTGTATTTCAGATCTTCACAAGAGTAGAAAATTTTTTTCTGGGATGCCACATTTGTATTAATAACAGTAGTATTAGAGCTTAGAATCATTGCATGATTTTAGCAGGCACTTAGGCCTTAAATACCCATCTGACAAAAATAACTTTTTTCAGATTTTGGTTTTAAAATTTTTGATGCACTTTTAGCTCTAGATGTGTAAAGAACATTTTAAAAATTATGATCCCCTGTTGATTTACAGTAACCTTAAGATTGGTGACAGGTTTTTCTGGGAGGAACGATGAAAGCCTGCATGCATACTAATAAAGAAAGGGGTCATTGGGGCTTTCTTTGGGATTTGAAAAGCATTTATGATCAGTCAGCCTTCTCAGGTTCATGCTAATTGGGAGAAATGGTTTTGGAATAATATACTATTTGATTTTAAACATAATATGGAGAAGGTTGAAATAGTGAAAACATGTTTAAAAACATTAATTTTTGTTCTCAGTTGATATATTTATTAAGTATTTTCATCCTGGTCATTAAATGAAAGGAACACTTGAAGTATATGTGTATGTGTTTATTGTAGAGGTTGAGGGTGAACGATAGTATTAGGAGTTGGTGAAATACCTTTTCATTTACAGTAAAAGGTAAGAATTATTCCATTTGAACAATATGTCTAAATATGTGGGGTTAACTAAATTTTAAAAATAATGTGTTGAGTTCCTCCCATGTTCAAGCAGTACCCAAGTTCCCATGGTTGATGTAAATAAACATAAATACTTGTAGTTCTAGTCATTAAAGATGAGAAAATAAAATATAAACACAGTGGTAGATTTACCATGAAGCTAATGCAGTTTCAACTTTAAGCCCACTCATTTACGTAGGCCTCTTCTAGGCTTCAGGATGGGGCTTTAATAATATATTCAGGTGGTAATTTTCAAAAGTAAGATATTTCAGTCATAATTAGTTCAAATTGCTGTCACTTTCAACTCTGACTTACTCTCCATCATACTTCCACTTGGGTTTTATGGGA